TTTGCCCAACCTGGGTCTTTCTTTTCATTTTTCTTTTCTTATACCATCCTCCTTCCTCACACAGGGCCATAGGTGATAAATGACCTCTAGGTTCTGTTAGACTGTGGTCAGAACAGGCTTGATTCTTGCAAGTGGGCGGTTCCTCAAGGCTGAGTCAGAAATGGGTAACTACAGTTTTACTGTGCTGGTCTGCTGCACCCACATCACTGGAGGAGAGATGCTGGAACCATAGGACATCCACTGCTCCCCTTCCTCAGGCAGATGGAAACTTTGGAGCCCTTACTGCTTTTATTAGGTGATAATAGGATTGACCTCTAATGGTTGGAATTCCTCTGGTGGCATAGTGCCTAAGGCATTTGACTGCTAACCAGAAGGCTGGGGGGTTGACCCACCAGCCACTCCTTGGAAGGAAGGTTGGGCAATCTACTTCTGTAGAGATACAGGCTTGGAAACCCAAGGAGGGGCTGCTATGAATCAGAAATGATTCAATGGTAGTGAATTTGGTTTTTGGTTTTGGATCACACCAATGACAAAAGACCTGCTGTAGGAAGGAATTTGGTTTTTCTAATGGGGGTTTAGGCCAAAACCCATCCTAAGGGAATACCTAGAAATAAGTTTATATTTTCTATCAGTTGTGAAAAACATTCCTTTCCTTTCGGAAAGATGGCTTATGGCTAGACCTGGGATGAGGTGGGAAGAAGCCAGGTGAACACTGACAGGTCCTTCACTTGGAACAACAGCCAGAGTCCCTTTCCTAGTAGAATCCTCCTTAATAATGGTACAGGCAGGATTAAGAGGATTAACAACAACTATAACTGCTCTAAAGAGCCCTAGTGGTGCAAAGGTTAAGCGCTTGGCTGCTAACCCAAAGTTTGGCAGTTTGAACTCACCAATGGCTCCAAATTCCTGGTGATCTGCTGTAGAGAAGATTATGGCCTGCTCAACCCTAGCAGGCAGTTCTACCCTGTCCTATAGCATTGCTATGAGTTGGCATTGATTTGATGGCACACAAGAACACAATGATATAATTGTTCTAAGGAAATAGTATATAAGTATTTTTCCCTTTTTACATACCATATCTTTGAGTGACTTTCTACTAACAGTGGTGACCTGAAGTTATGGAAGGACAATAATTATATACATTTTTTTTTTTTTTAAACCCACACCCTGGTATTTCCTCCTGGAGGATGGGGGATTAGGAGAGAGTTATGGTGGTGTTGGTGGCACAGCGGTTAAGTACTTGACCTAAGGGTTTCGAGCCCACCGGCAGGAGAAAGATTTGGCCATCTGCTTTTGTTAAGATTACAGCCTTGGAACATTGTGGGTAGTTCTCATTTGTCAGGGTCAGAATGGACTCAATGGCAATGGTTTTTTGGGGTTTATGGAGAAATAATGCCATCAAATTGATCAATTCTTGAGGCACCTTCAAGAACCAGATAATTCCTGTTTTTCTGGTATCGTCCTGAATTTTCCTATCATCTACCTTTTGTGAAGTCCTTAGTTTTAAGAGTCAGGGAGGACATCATGGTGTGTCACCCACCACCAAAGACTTCCTCCTTTGATTCCTTTGATTTGGTTTACAGAGAGAAGAGTGAAGTGCCCTCATCGCAGCCAGACCCATTGGCCATCTTTGCTTTGGAAGTTCCTACCGCAGCAGGGCCAATACCGGAAGCTGGAACCTCAGTGCACTGTGTGCACTCACACGTGTGAGTGCCGCCACGTGTGTCCTCACTTAGAAGTGACCACCTGACCAATGAAGCGGAGTGGAAGCTCTGGAAAAAGTGGAGGCGGCTGCAGAGAAGGCAGAGGTTTCGGCTGTTCAGCGATCTGTGGGTCCCCCTGGAGAAGAGGTGAGGCGAGCCCACGACTTGGCCAACCAGGAGCTTTTCACCCCCATTCTGCCCTCACCTGGGGAGGACGGGTGATGAACAGCTCCAAGAATTCCCCGTACACTGCCGAGGCAGGAGGTTCAAGGCTTTGGTACAGATGAGAGTGCCCTTGTAGAGCAGACTTTCCCTTTCATAAGGCAGTGGCACTATTTACTGTCCATGGAGACAGAGATGAATCTACATTTAAGGTGGTTGCTTCTAAGCAGAGCAAGGGCAACAAGTTTATCTTTGTTAAGAAACATACGCAGGGCCATGATGGGCCTGTTAAAAGTAGGGTGAGGCTGAAATAAAGGCTGAACTGAAATAACTTGACTTTCCAACAACCTTCTCCGTTGCTTTGCAGAGCTGGAAGCAACTCTGTAGCAATGGGCTTATTCACCCCATTGTTTTACAGGGAGATTGGTCACCACAGAATCTCAGAGATGCCTCTGGGGTGGGTCAAAGGTGGATAGAAGTGCTAAGGGTAGTGACCCAGCCTGGGTCTGCAAGGCTCAACCTGCTGGAGGAAACACCTGAGAGACTTGGGATTCAGAATCCAGTTCAATTCAACCCAAGTTTATTGAATTCCTCTTATGTGCCTGCTGCTGTGTTGGGTGCTCTGGCTGTGGTGAGAACAACACAGACATTGGCCTTGTCTTCATGAAGCTCATGATCTGTGTCTGGAGGAAGTTGGATTTTGAGTTGATAATCCTCAGGGGATGTGTAGAGTGTGTGTGTGTGTGTGTGTGTGTGTGTGTGTTGGGATTACTTAGGATGGAGGGTCAAGAAAGGCCTGAGGAATTGACATTTTAGCTGATACTGAGAAGATGCCTGGCAGAGTGGGGCCCAATGACTATAGCTTCTGAGTCTAGCTCAGTGGATTCAGTGATTCCTTGGTTAGTACATACCAAATAGAGAGTCCTGGTGGTACAGTGGTGAAATGTTCTGCTGCTAACCAAAGGGTGGGCGGTTTGAACCCAACAGCCTCTCCATGGGAGAGAGATGTGACAGTCTGCTTTTGTAAAGATTTACCACCTTGGAAATCCTCTGGGGTAGTTCTATTCTGTCCTATAGGGTCATTATGTGTTAGAAATGGACTTAACAGCAATGATTTTGATTTTGTTTAAATGCAAAAATGAATGAGTGAGTGAACAACTAAATAGTGAGGGAAGAGTTCCAGGCAGAGGAAACAGTGTGAAAGGAGCCAAGATAGAATAATTCTGGCTTGAGCCTCAGAAGTGAAGCTGGATTGGGGTGAGAAAGGTCCAAATAGGTAAACAGAGGCAGGAGTGAGTGACTGAGACCCTCATGCCTGAGGGAAGTAGAAAACCACTGAGAAGTCTGATGATGTGCTATGTGATTTGTATTTTTAAATGAACAGAAGCTGGCAGCCAGATGATACTCAGACACAGACAGATCCTGTTGGTGTCCATGGCTCCCATGGTGTCTGACTTGGGATGGCTCCTGAACCATCTGTCATTGAAGATGGAATAAATGGACATATTTGGTACTTTTTAAACCTGGGCCACTTTTTTAAAGGTGGCCATGAGGTGGGGCACTTTAAACCTGAGCTGAGCTGAGCTGAAAGGACAAGATGAACCTGAAGTCATGGGCCCCTTAGTTCATACTTTCTTGACCTGGATGTTTGCATGATGGTCACACCAGCCCTGAAGTGGGGGAGGGGAGAGAGGCAGAGACATTTCATGACCTGGTATGCCTGTGTGTGTGACCAGTGAGGAGGCCATGCCTGGGATTGTCCAGAGGTTAACGATTCGCAAACTCTGAGTTGGCTTTCTTACACCAAGGGTTTTAATAATCAGTGAACCAAGAACCAAATAGCCAGGGGAGAGCTGGCCAGTCTGCTAGTTTAGTGCCCTGTATTACCTGGTTTTCTGGTGGCAGTGGGAAAGAAAGCCAAAGACACAGGAAGCCTACTGACATACAAACAACCCATTCCTGTCTTTAAAGAGAAGAGGGGAAAGGAAGCTGCTTGGGCATTTGGGAGCCTTGGAGTATGCGGGGGCTTTTGCTGTGCCCAGAGACTCTGTCTTTCTTTTTGTCTCCTAGTTCTGTGATCTCACATCTCTAGGTCCCCATCCTGGACAGCTGCTGAGCTGTGGCTCCCTCTCTGGGGACATTCTCACCATTGCCAGATGGTAGCCAGCAGTACCTGCCTGTCTGAACTCCTGTGTTCTGGGTGCTGGTGCTCGCTTTTCAAACAGAGATAACCCTCTTGTAATGGCTGGGACAGCCAGGCCAAAACCCTGACCTGACCCCTGGGACTTGAAGGATGGTCACTCCTGCATTCTGCATTCTGCTCTGGCCTAGACAGCCTCAACCCAGGAGAAGAAACTCAGAATCAAACCGTTGTTGGTTCTTCTCTTTCCAAGGGATGACTTAGGGTATCTGACAATGCTGGGGAGAGGTATACAGTTTTGTAACAGAGCTATAAATGAATTACATGAAAATTATTAAATGTTTCTTTTTTTGTGTGTGTGTGTGCAGACTCCTTTCTAACCCCCAGTGTGTATATACCAGGCAAACAACTCTTGCCCACGTCCTCTGAGGACTATCACTGCTTCATTCCTGGGCTCTATACTCAGCAACTTTGGATCCCTTTTTGTGTGCTGGCCTCAAATCCTGACCTTTGTCTTGTTCCTGCTCATCTTCTTCCCTGTAAGCTCCAGGTTCTGGATGCAAAGGAGTCAGCAGGCCGTGGCACCTTTGTTCTGCTCCTCCGTATTCAAGATCTGGCGAGTACTGTGCTCTGACCTTTCATTCATGTACAATATGTAAATATATCTCATGAACATGCTGAATATAGGGTAGGTGGGTTTGTCACAGGTGCTGTGCCGAGAAGTGGTTTTTAGACTTTGTGCTACTAATTGATGCTCTCACTGCCTCAGCCTCCACCTCTTGGGCTGAGACCAACCTTTCTGCTCTAGAAACGGAAGCATCCAGGCTATATGATAAACACATACTGGGCCTTTCATGTTCCTGTTCAGAACAAGGGTCCTGGCGGATGGAACAAGGGATGCTGAGTCCTGGCCCTTTCCAGGGACCCAGCAGGCTAATGAATGACTAGCACATGGGTGCTAGACCTACTGCTTTTACATCAGAGCTTGGATTATGAACAGAAAGAAAAATACTTTATTGTAGGTTATATGTGAAATAAAAGCCATTGTACCACCCTTTAAATCAAATCGTAAGTAACAACTTGTTTTGCTCACATACAAGTTATGCAGACCTTTTCCCCATTAGGTGAGCTCTCTGGCCTGGTTCTTTCTCAGGACTGAGAGGGCGTCCTTTCACTCACTGAGCTGACAGAGCAAAGCCGATCCCTTGGCAATCCAGTAGTCTTTGGACCGCTTGGAGGGTAAGAGGACAGTTACCACAAAGTTGGTAGAATGACCTAGTTAAGGATACAGAAAGAAAATTCATTGTTTAAAGGAGCTCTGGTGGCTTAGCACCTAAGGCATTTGACTGCTAACCAGAAGGCTGGTAGTTCAAACTCACCAGCTACTGCATGGAAGGAAGACTGGGCAATCTACTTCTGTAAAGATTTACTGCCTCAGAAACCCAAAGGGGATTGCTATGAGTCAGAATCGACTCGATCGCAGTGAGTTTGCTTTTTTTTTTTTTTTTTATCCCTGGTGTAAAGAGCACTGTACTGGGAATCAAGACAACTGGGTTCCAAATTGTCCTCCACAGGTTTATTTCATGCTCTAAAATGAAGAGAAAACAAATGGCCTGTCCTGCTCAGACTTTGTGTAACTTTATGAGCTTTGTTTCCAGGTTCTCTGCAGTGTGACCTGGGGTTTGCATGATGTTTGGCAACCTGTGGCTGCATACTGGCTGCAAAACCTGACTAGGAGCCCTGGACCAGGACCCAGACCTGAGCTTTCAGTGGGACTCAGGGGTATGCATTTGGTACATAGAACATCCACTCATTCACACATCTCTTTATCTATCTGTCCATCCATCCAGTGTTCTACCCTACAGTGCTAGGCACTGGGGAACCTGAGATGAATAAGCATAGTTACAGGTGTTCTGCCTTCAGCCCTGGGACATCTAACAGAAGAGGTTTCTTTCACTTCTTCAGTACAGCCCTGTGTGGGGGGATCAGGACCAGGGTGAGAAGAAGGAGGGTCTGCCTTCATGGTGGGAATTGCTATTTCTAGTCCTACACACACAACAGCTCCAATCAGTGTGAAACCTGGGGAAGGTGGTGGTGTTCCCAGCAGACCATACCTCTGTCTCTCTCTCCTAACTTTCATATGCCATCCCCTGCATATCATGCCAGGTACCCTGGGTATAGCCAGTACTTGAGTGACAGGCCTTCTAGTGTCAACAGCCCAAATGCAAGAGAAAGCAAGCCTGGACATAGTCTTCTTATGGAATTACTGGTTTTCTGGGCCCTTAGAATTTAGATCAAGGTCCTAAACACTCCCTCACAACCTTCTCTGCCCTTTGTCCCGGTTTCCCTGGAGCGGGTTCAAAGCCTGCAGTCCCGCAGGCATTCAGTGATGCCTGAGGCCTCCTCCAGGCCTGGAGGAGCACTTGGGGCATAACCAAATCTCTGGAGCCATTATCTTCAAATTAAGCAGAATTTAATCCTGGCCAGAAAGGAGGAGCCCTGGTGACATAGTGGTTAAAGTGCTCGGCTACTAACCTAAAGATCAGTGGTTCGAACCCACCAGCTGCTCTGTGGGAGAAAGATGCTTTCTTTAAAGATTTACCCTTCAGAAACCCTATGGCCAGTTCAACTCTGTCCTATAGGGTCGTTGTGAGTTGGAATCGAATCTATAGCAACAGGTTTGGCCAGAAAGGAACCCTTTCAAAACTCTCAGTTTCTACATCACACCACTACTTTCTAATGGGCTCATGTGAAAGCTGCCATAATGCAGCAGTTAGGTGGGTGAGGAGGTCGATGGTTGGGACTGGGGGTGCAGGGCTCCACATCACATGTGCGGTCCACTTGGACTCAGGCTCTGGGAGGCTGGGGGTAAGTTGGGACTCTGTGCCACAGTGGCTGCAAATCAAGTGTAAGGGTGCTGGCCACTCCAGCTGGTAAATGGTTAAAAAGAATTAGACATGAGCTACTTATTGGAAGAGAAGCAGAATGAGGAGAGGGAGGCTGTGGGTATGTGTGTGTGTTTGTGTAAAAAGAGTGTAGTGGTGACCCTCTATTCTTGACCCAGAAGGGTCAATGGTGCTTGGTGTACATACAGTATGTGAGTACCTGGCAGGCAGGGACAGATGAGCTTTGGAAGCATCAGGCCAGGGGCTCCATGTGTTTCACAGCCTGTCACTGGCCCTTGATGGACCAGCTCTGAGGAAGGAGAGGGCTGCAACCCTAGTGAAGGAGCATATTTTGTACCTGAGAATAATTTGGGCTTTCAGTAAGTTGCAATATTGTGAGAACTGATAGTGTCATCCTTACACTGATACAGCTAACAAGGGACTTGGGCATGCACATTCAATTAATTTTCAAAACAGTATTCTTCCATAACTTCTAAATTAAAAAAATATATATGTTAATTGAGGAATTTTAAGAATGTACTGATCCATGACCCAGAGTTACTATTAACATTTTATTTCTGGGCAATATCAAAACTTGTCCCTTATCCTATCACATACACACACCTCCCAGATTGTTTTGAAGCAAATTCCAGGCAACATGATATTTTATCTGTAAATATTTTAGTATAGATCTCTAAACCATGACTGTTAAAAACGTAACTGCTTATATCTTAAACATAATAATCTTTAATGTTAATAAATATTTAGTTGTTCAAATTTCCCTGACATGTGCAGGTGTGTGTGTGTGCGCACGTGTGTCTATCTCTGTACCTATTTTCTTCCTTTTAACAGTTTTTTTGACTGGGGAGTCATATGAGCTTGAGACACTGAAGGGTCTCTTAAATCTCTATTAATCTGTAGGTTTTCCTTTTGCCACCTCTTGCAGTACATTTGCTGAAGCAATGAGGCTATTTGTCTTCTAGATTCCCAGCATGTATACTTTGCTGACTGCATTCTGTGGTGATTTTAAACATACTCCTCTATAACTATAAAAGGGGGGTTAGATCTAGAGGTGTGATCACATTCAGGCTCAAGTTTTTTGACAAGAATACTTCATAGGTGATGTGTCCTTTCCATCAGGAAGTACCTCATGTCTGATTGTCTTTCTTTTTGGGATGTCAATACCTAGTAGTGCTTATTGCTTAGAACCATTATTTCATTAAAAACAAACAAACAAACCCATTTCCATGAAGTTGATCCTGATTCATGACTCAGCGACCCTAGAGGACAGAGTAGAATCGCCCAATAGGGTTTCCAAGGTTGTAAATCTTTACTGAAGCACATTGCCACATCTTTCTCCCATGGAGAAACCCAAGGCTGGGTTTGAACTGTCAATCTTTTTATTTTATTTTATTTTGATTTGGGTGAAGATTTACAGAGCAAATTCACTTTCCATACAGCAGTTGAACTGTCAATTTTTTGGTTAGTAGCCTAGTGCTTAACCACTGTGTCATCAGGGCTCCTCCATAGAAAAAAAGATTACAGCTCTGAAAATCCTATAGGGGCAGTTCTACTCTATCCTCTAGGGTTGCTATGAGTTGGAATCGACTCAAAGGCAATGGGTTAATCTTTGGGGAAACATACTGCTATGTCTTTCTCCTGTGGAGCAGCAGGTGAGTTTGAACAACAGACCCTTCAGTTAGCAGCCGAGTGCTTAACTATTGTACCACCAGGATTCCAGAAAGCTACTAGAACTAATAACTGAGTTTGTTGTTGTTGTTGTTACATGTCATCGAGTCAGACCTGACTCATAGTGACCCCTCTTTGGGTTTCTGAGGCAGTATCACTACAGAAGTAGATTGTCCAACCTTCTTACTGAGGAGTGGCTGGTGGGTTTGAACTGCCAGCCTTCTGGTTAGCAGTCAAGTGCCTTAGGCACTATGCAACCAGAGCTCCCATGGCATAGTGCCTAAGGCATTTGACTGCTAAACAGAAGGCTGGCAGTTCAAACCCACTAGCCACTCCTTGGAAGGAAGACTGGGCAATCTACTTCTGTAGAGATACTGACTCAGGAACCCAAGGAGCGTCACCATGAGTCGGAATTGACTTGATGACAGTGAAAGAATAACTGAGTTTAGGAAGGTCTAATTCTAATACTAAACCCTCATCTGTCAGTTTGTTGTTCTATGGTGACTTGTGCATTGCTATGATGTTAGTAGCTATGCCACTTACTACCAGTAGGGTCACTCAAGGTTTCAGTGGAGCTTCCAGACTGATACAGACTAGGAAGAAGGACGTAGCCAGGTCCACTTCTGAAAAAAAAAAATGGCTACTGAAAACCTTATAAATAGCAGTGAAACACTGTCTGAGTGCTGGAAGAAGAGTCCCTCAGGTTGGAAGGCATCAAAATATGACTGGGGAAGAGTTGCCTCCTCAAAGTATAATTGACCTTTATGACGCGGATGGAGTAAAGTTTCAAGACATTCACTTGCTGATGTGGTATGACTGAAAATGAGAAGAAACGGCTGCAAATATACCTTACTAATCAGAATGTGGAATGTACAGAGTATGAATCTAGGAAAATTAAAAGTTGTCAAAAATGAAATTGAATGCATAAAGATCGATATCCTAAGCATTAATGAGATGAAATGGACTAGTATTGGCCATTTTGAATGGGACAATCATATGATCTACTATGCTGGGAATGACAGATCAAAGAGAAATGGCATTGTGTTTATTGTCAAAAAGAATATTTCAAGATCTACCCCAAAGTACAGTGCTGTCAGTGGTAGGATATAATCCATATGCCTACAAGGAAGATCAGCTGATACTACTATTACTCAAATTCACAACCAACCACTAAAGCCAAAGATGAAGAAATTGAAAATTTTTACCAAATTTTGCAGCCTGGAATTGACCAAACATGTAACCAAAATGCATTGATAATTACTGGTGATTGGGATGTGCAAGCTGGAAATGAAGTAGGTTTGGTAGTTGGAAAATATGTCCTTGGTGACAGAAATGACTCTGGAGATTGCATGATAGAATTTTGCGAAGGGTAGCTTACAAAGACAAAGTAAAGTATTATAATGAAATGTGCAAAGACCTGCAGTTAGAAAATCAAAAGAGAACATGCTCAGCATTTCTCAAGCTGAGAGAACTGAACAAAAATTCAACCCTTGAGTTGCAATACTGAAGGATTCTATGGGCAAAATATTAAATGATGCAGGAAGCATAAAAAAGAAGATAGAAGGAATACACAGAGTTACTGTACCAAAAAAACCTGATTGATGTTCAACCATTTCAGGAGGTAGCATGAACTGATGGTACTGAAGGAAGAAGTCCAAGCTGCATTGAAGTTACTGATGAAAAACAAGGCTCTAGGAATTTAAAGAATACTCGTTGAGATGTTTCAACAAATGGATGCAGCACCAGAGGTGTTCACTCGTTTATGCCAAGAAATTTGGAAGACAGCTACCTGGCCAACCAACTGGAAGATATCCATATCTATGTCCATTCCAAAGAAAGATGATCCAACAGAATATGAAAATTATTGAACAATATCATTAATATCACATGCAAGTAAAATTTTGCTGAAGATAATTAAAAAATGGTTGCAGCAGTATATTGATAGGCAACTTCCAAAAATGCAAGCTGGATTCAGAAGAAGGTATGGAACAAGGGATATTCTTGACTATGTCAGATGGATCTTGGCTGAAAGCAAAGAATACAAGAAAGATGTTTACATGTGTTTTATTGACTATGCAAAGGCATTTGACTGTGTGGAGCATAACAAATTATGGATAACACTGCAAAGAATGGCAATTCTAGAAACCTTGATTGTGCTCAAGAGGAACCTGTACATAGACCAAGAAATAGTCCTTTGAACAGGACAAGGAGATATTGCATGGTTTAAAATCAGGAATGGTGTGAGATGAGATTGTATCTTTTACCATACTTATTCAATCTGTATGCTGAACAAATGATCCAAGAAGTTCAACTATATGAAGAAGAATGTGGCATTAGGAGTGGAGGAAGCCTTGGTAACAACCTGTGATATGCAGGTGACACAACCTTGATTGGTGAAGGTAAAGGAGACTTGAAGCAAATAAACGAAGACCAAAGACTACACCCTCAGTATTGATTACACCTCAAAGTACACAAAAATCCTCACAACTGGACCAGTAAGCAACATCACGGTAAATGGAGAAAAGATTGATGTTGTCAAGGATTTCATTTTACTTTTATCCACAATCAACACTCATGGAAGCACCAGTCAAGAAATCTAACGATATATTGCATTAGGCAAATCTGTTGCAAGATACCTCTTTCAAGTGTTAAAGATCAAGGATGTCACTTTGAAGACTAAGGTGTGCATGATCTAAGCCATTGTCTTTGTAATAGCCTTATATACATGTGAAAGCTGACAATGAATAAGAAAGACTGAAGAAGAACTGATGTATTTGAATTGTGGTATTGGCGAAGAATATTGAATGTACCATGGAATGCCAGAAGGACGAACAGATCTGTCTTGGAGGAAGTACAGCCGGAATGCTCCTTAGATTGGAAAAATGGCCAGACTTCCTCTCTTGTACTTTGTTCACGTTGCCAGAAGGGACTAGTTCCTGGAGCAGGATATCAAGCTTGGTAAAGTAGAGGGTCAGCGAAAAAGGAGAAGACCCTCAATGAGATGGAGCGACATAGTGGCTGTGATGATGCGCTCAAGCATGGCAGCGATCGTGAGGATGGCATGGTGCTAGACCAGGCAGTGTTTTGTTCTGTTGTACAGAGGGTCACTGTGAGTTGGAACCTACTCGATGGGACCTAAGAACAATAATTCTAACAAATGTTTAAATACAGTAATTAAAATGGTGTTGCACTGACACAAGGCACACAATGCTCAAATAGATCAAATGCACTGAATACTCCCTGTACTTATGTGGGAACTTGCCACATCATAACAGTATTATTCTAAATTGGTAGGAAATGGAGAAATTATTCTACAAGTGGTGTTGGGACAATTGGTCATACCAAATTTAGATACTTATCTCATACCACTTAGAAAAATTAAACCACTGATGAATTGTAGACTTACGATCATCACTAAGGGAGCTCTGGTGATGTAGCACTTAAGGTATTTGACTGCTAACCAGAAGACTGGTGGTTCAAACCTACCAGCCACTCCTCAGAAGGAAGGTTGAGCAATCTACTTCCGTAGAGATACTGCCTCGGAAACCCAAGGAGGGGTCGCTATGAGTCGGGTCCGACTCGATGGCACATAACAACAACAACAACAACATATAATGGAAATCCACACTCAGTATTAGAACAAATAGAATTTAGAACATTTATAAATTTGTATGCAATGGCAAATGATCTAAGAAGCTGGACTGTATGAAGACGAATGGAGCATCAGGATCAGAGGAAGACTCATTAACAACCTGTGATATGCAGATGATACAACCTTGCTTGCTGAAATGAAGATCAAAGAAATGAAGATCAAAGACCTCAGCCTTCAATATGAATTACAGTATGGATTTTAAGCCTGGTTAATTAGCTCAAGATCACCCTTTATGCATTACAGCTTAGTGTTTGGACTTTGCTTGTAGTCTGTGTTTGGCCATTGTTTGTACTAATCTTAGAACATCCTCACCTGTGGTTGAGAGTGTTCCTGCCCGGGCCCCTGTTTTATAAAGTGGGGAATGGTAAAGTGTTGGGCTTGGCTCATAATTCTGTTGAGGTTCAAAATGCACCATGGGCAGCATGGGATTCATCTGTCCAGGCAGTGCATCTTCTATCACCATCTCCTTATCGTCCCACCGAGAAGCATCCATGAACATCCCATGAACAAGAACTCCATCTTCAGGGGAGGGCAACTGAAAGATACCCAGAAGTTTAAGGGTGAGAGGAGGAGAAGGGTATCAGCTGCGGTGAGCCATATTGTGTCCACACCCTCATCACTCTATAGATTGCTGATGCTACTTATGTTTCTTAGCAAAGGATCCTTAGGTTCCAAGAGGGTAAATAACTTCCTTCTCAGTTTGATACCAAATCTCATACTTTTCACATTCCATGATGTCTACCTCTATCAGAGATACCCCTGGGAAACCCACTTCTTGGGTAACCCTCTTCCACTGTCATCATGTAATTACTTTTCCCCTTCTCATGGGAAAAGCAATGGGGTAAGATGGCCTGTGATTATCACTGGATACTCTTAGGAAGGTCTTGCAAGAATCTGGGTGCCTTTCTGGATCTAGGAAGTAGGTTATACAACTGTGATAATACTTGCACAGCGCCTATGGACAATTCTTTTTTTAAAAAATGTAAATTCTGCTTGCTTTTTAATGTTTTTATTAAAGTAGAGAAAGGGACAAGGATCCTGCCCCCAAGTGTTCTGTGATTGGATGTTACCACTGGTGTACAAATTCTGTCCTGAGAAAAGTAGTGAAAAGCCTCCTCTTTAAACAGGCACTAGGTTTCAGAGGTTCAGGTACAAACTGCAGGCACCCCTGTGTCACCCTTCCTGAAACAATGCATGAAAGTGGTCAGTTCTAAGGCTCCAGATCTTTGGTTAATTGGAGCCTCACATCTGGGAGCAGAGGGCCCAGCATTGTGGACAAGAAGAAGCGTATTTTATAGTGATTGAAAGAATGGTAAACTTTGTTTTTGACTGGCCTTTTGCATTCTGGTGTTCTGAGTTTTCTGTCTCTTGGGTATGGCAGGGTAGGATGGTACATTCTTGTTTTCAGGGATACTTTGTGGAAGATGGGGCAATCTATTTCTGTAGTGATACTGCCTCGGAAACCCAAGGAGGGGTCACTATAAATCAGGTCCGACTCGATGGCACATAACAACAACAACAACAACATGTAAGCCTGTGCAGGTTTGGGCTTAGTAGAGGCTGAAAACCATCCAGCTATCTGCTTGTCAAGCTGTGTTTAGGCACCATCTGTTTGTTAAGTATTGTGCCTGCAGGGTGGCATCCACAATAAGGAAAGGCCTGTTTCTAATCTGTGCAAAGGTAGCAAATACGCTAACAGTGGCCCTGCCTGTTTATAACAGAAATAAAGCTATGGATGCACATCTCTTGCTATCTTTTGCAGACATTTGCTGGGAGGAGGGAGAATGTGTTCAGGCAGAAGCAGTCTTGCTTAGGAGGTGCCAGGAGACAGGCCAGCCAGCCAGTCTCTGAGGTCTCTACAGAACTCAGGGTCTAAGGTATTATTTTGGCTTGGTGTACATGATCCAACCAGAGATGTGTGGACTAGGGGAAGGAGGAAACCTCAGCTCCCCTGGTCACTGTAAACTTCTGTCCATCAGAGCCACAGAGTAGGGACAGCATACTGGAAGCCTCATGGCGGCCTTTTATGTGGTGTTGCTCTGCCGTTCTGTAGCCTCAATTATTCCTGATGCAGGACTATCATAGCTAGGAGGGTATCAAAATAATGAAGAATGCATCTCTAAATTTGTTTCCCCCTCACATTTAAATATATTTTGATGCTAAAACACATTTCCTTAAAAACATAAGCCTTTTTACTGTTATGTTAAGGTACAGGCAAGGATGTTATAGTATTTCATAGGGTAAGCCATGAATATGGGGTCAACCTGTCTCTGTACAGTTTTGTTACTCAGGACAAAAAAAAGATCAGTTAGATCTGCGTAGGGTGAAATTGACATAATTACCCATCAGTGAGTAATAGTAACTAATACCATGGTATTAGGAAAGTTTAGTAAAAGCTACTCACTCCAACTATACTAATTGGTTAGTGAACTTGGCAAAAGTAGTCTGGGACAGATCTTTGATTTCATGGCACATATGTCCATATCTCAGCACACCTAAGCTGGGCAGCTCAGATCTATAGCAGTGGTTCTCATCCCTGGCTATCTACTGAAATCACCAGGAGCTTTAAAATATACTGACACCTGGGCCCATCCCCAAGGATCTCTGGTGGGGTAGTGCCTAAAACATTTGACTGCTAACCAGAAGGTTGGCAGTTCAAACCCACCAGTCACTCCGTGGAAGGAAGACCTGGCAATCTACTTCCGTAGAGGTTTACCGCCTCAGAAACCCAAAGAGCGTTTGTTATAAGTCAGAATTGACTAGATAGCAGTGAGTTTGGTTTTAGATTTTTTGGGCCCCACCTCCAGTGATTCTGATGTAATTGGAGTATAAAAATTTAGCTTATTATAATACTTATTGTAGGCCTACTATGTGGTGGTCCAGTTACATCTGCTATAATTTAATCTGCATTGTCACTGTGAGATTGGTGGCATCAGCCCCACTTCATGGACAAGAACTCTGAGGTGGAGACATGTTAATAACTGCTCCAGCACACACAGCTGGTGAGGGGGAGAGTCAGGATTCAATCCTAGTCCTGATTCTGACACACTTGCTTTTAATCTTTTGTTATATTGCCTCTGCAAGGAGAAGAAAGTTACTGTAGATATCTAAAGAAATAAAAGTGTTGCCTTAAACTATTTCTGCAAATCAGACTAATTCAGGTAGCCCCTATCTAATCAATGCTACTTGGGGAATGGGTGTCCCATCCTGCCCCTCTCTCTCTAGGTAAGCAAATGATAGGTGGGGTGTGGGGAAGGGAGCTGGGTGGAAATATGGAATGACGGGATAGAAGCTGCTTTGCTTTGACAGTAGCAAGGTGGACAATACCTCTACATCCATGGGCAGTTCTTGTCCAAACTGCACGGTCTTGGCAGCTTCTATCACTGTAGCTTGATCCCGATAGGTAGAAATCATGTTGTACTTGAAGCTCAGCTCGTCTATAGGCAAATTGTATTTCCGGGCATGGTTCTGAAGAATTCCTATAAATATGAAAACGAGAAAGCTGGTCCTCCAAACAACACTACTCAGCCTGAGCAAGAGGTGGTGTGGCTTGGTTTGAAGGTTGAGCCTAGGGCCCAACAACTCCCCTCCCCGCCCATGCTCAACAGGCTGCTCCAGCATTTGAGAGCTTCTTTTCCACATAGAAGACCCAGTCATCAATACCTTATTCTGGAAGCCTGCATGTCTTATTGGGAAGGAAGGAACAAGGCACATACAAGTTTTGGTCAGGGTTGAGAAGAGAGGAAGGAAGGAATGCCTGAGTGTGGGGCTCTGCCAGTGAAGGAGACCAAGCCAATGAGGGGCTGTGGGGTGCATGGAAGCCTGGACATCAGAGACAGTGGGAGCAAGAGGAGGGAGCTTCAGAGTCCAATCTCCCTAACTTTAATTTCTTGTCACATGTGGGCTATTACCAGAGATCCAGATGAGACAGATTAAGAGCTAGACTGTTTGTATCTGTTTGCCCAAAGGCCCTGACTCCTCTGGGGTTGCCTAAATGGATTCCTCTCAGGCTGCTGGAGGGACATCAAGAACAGGAATGCATAGATGAGAAGGGCACAGGGAGGGGGTAGTCACAGAGAGGAAAGGGGAAGAGAGTTTTTTATGGTTGGGTATTGCGGTGTAGTAAATTACATACAGTGGCTTTTCTAGCCATAAATCTTTGTAAACTCTGTGGTGGAATTTGTGGTGAGCAACTGAGTAGCTCCTGAATGTTAAAGTTATCCACCTGGGGTATTTCTGTTGAGTGTAGCACCAAGTAATTTTCTGGGAAGTTTGCTCTCTCTCAGGTGTATAGAATTTTGATGTTGGGATTGGTTAGTTTGGCCACTCCACCAAGCTCAAAAGGAGCCCTCTTAGAGGCAGAAGGAGTCTCTCTGACTGCAGGCTGAGAAAAATGTACTGCTAAGAGAAAAGTGCTCCTGGAGACATGAGAGACACATGCTGCTGAGAGAGAGATGCAAGAGACACACACCTCTGAGAGAGATACAAGAGATATTCACTACTGAGAGTGATATGCTACTGAGACTGCAGGCTGCTGAGTGAGACGGCCGGCTGCAAGAGACTGAGTGCATTTCTGAACTTCAATTGTAGCCTGGTGCTTCCCTAATAAACCCCATAATCTGTGAGTTCTGTGTGGTAACTGCAGCAAATTATTGAACCCAGCAGAGAGGTGGTGAGTGCTGCAGGAGGACTGGTTGGTGTCAGGATGGTGAAAGGGCTGGGGGGAGGCAGCATATCTGGCCTTGCAGGAATAGGCCTTGAGCTGCTGATGGTGATTCTGTCTTCCTCTTGTGGGGTTAGAGGAGGTCAGAAGATGCGCCCTCCCTGCCCCTTCGGCAGGGATAGTAATCTGGCCGTGAAATCAAATGTGCATGAGCTATTGAATGTAGAACAAATTTGTTTTGTAAATTTGTACCCTAAGCACAATGCAAAAAAAAAAAAAAAAAAAAAGATGTGAAAGATCTATTAAAAATAATAATAATTAAAAAAACCACATTTTTTTAGAGGGAAGGAAGCTGTGCAGAGCTGGGGCTGGGGCAATGGAGAGCAGTGGGTGCCCTGAGCATGGGTCACACTGGGGGATTAGAGCACTCAGTGAATGGTGAGCAAGAGTAGTGTCCACACATCATAACTGGGGTGGGGAGAGGGGGGCAGGAGTTTGGTTGCTGGGGAACATCTGTCATTTATGTCATCCTTGTTTTTAGTGGGTGAGGATGAGCAGGGCCCTGTTGGACTGCCCTATAATCAATAGCCCCATTGTCAGGGCAGTACCAGCTATGCCATTTTCCCAGGTGTAACAAATTGTGACCTTTCCTGTGGGATTTTTCTAAGGAAAGCATTGGTACCTGTTAGAAATCCTTGAGGAAAGAAGAAACCAGAGATCCAGAAGGACTTCGGCTGTCCTCTTTTGAGCCACAACTAAAGGAGAAACATTAAAACATAATGCACTTATTTCTGAGGCAGTTTGTCCTCTAAATCAAAATCATGTGCTGGAGGGCCTCTCAGGAGGCAGGATCTAACCAGCCCAGAGTTAGTCACCACCTGCTTGCCCTGTCCCCATTCCTCACCCACCCAGCCTGACCAAAAACACAGAGCCTGGTTATTACAGGCAGACATAAGAGGGAGAAAGCAGCAAGGTTACTCATCTCAGATTAGTTTTGTACTTCACAATGGGGTTCACGAATTTGATTTGAAACCTCAAAGATGGCATAGAATTAAAATGGAATGTGAGGATAAGAGCCTAGAGCAAACTACATAAACAGTGTAAGACTTTTCAAGTGATACCATTCTGGAAATTTCAGTTTCTTTGGGCTCAGATGATCCCTCACTAGTTGTTGACAACATTTCAACATTCCTAAGGACCTAAGGGCCAACCATGTCACCAGATCCATCAAACCCCTAAGATGTGTATTTTCTTACGTCCACAAATGCAGTCCTCAGAATAAGGTCTTTCACCCATGATCCCAGAGGCTTCAGGGAAGGGTAGGCTGTGTTGGACCACAGAGAAGGGACCTGGTTGTTGAGGAAACTGTTATAAACCTTTTCCATTTCTTCAGACATCACCACAAGCCCAGCAATGGCTTTGTTGAGTGTTTCTAGAGAACTCTGAAAGAACAAAAAAAGTTGGTGCCCTTCATAGAGGTAAATATCAAGTATGAATGATACCCACCATAGCAGAGGCATAGCTCTCAAGAGTGGGCACTGCCTTGGGGAGAAGGACCCCCATGCTGGGTTCCATCCTCTCTGCACACTGCCTCCTGGGCCAGACCCTCCAATCCTGCATGTACTTTTTTTTTTTTTATATTTATGTACACTTTATATTCATAAACTTTTATAATTCTGCAAGGTAAGAATTATTTTTTTATTATTATTTACTGTGATTTGGGTGAATTTACAGAGCAAATTCACTTTCTATACAGCA